ATGGGCCGCGGGCAGGGCAGCCATCAGAAATTTCGGGGCCCCTTACACAGCTTTAGGCCTGGGCCCCCCGCACCGCCGCCACACTGAGCCAGTCACATTAGTCTCTGCACAGAGGAGCTTACACTCTAAAATTTTGGGTATTGTAGTTTTTTGAGGTTTCGCGCAATTTTAAGGCTTAACATGTTTGCTGTCTTTTTACCCGACGTGACCCCGCCTTTTATATTTTACCAAAAAATTGGGTAATAATAAATGTTTTCTAATTTATTATAGGGGAACAGTTTAAAAAAAAAAAAATTTAGTAATATTAAATACCACCAAACGAAAGCTCTATGAGTTCCCCAAAAAATGGTATGAAATTAGTTTCAGTACAGCGTTTGCATGACGGAATAAATGTCAAAGCACTGCAGCGCTGAATACTGAAAAATGGCGGGAACAGGAAGGGGGTGTAACACCGCGGACTTCAAGTGGTTAAAAAAATGTTTTTTGAATTTTTTTTGTTACTTCCATTTTTTTTCACACTCAGCTTTATTGCTATCACATAGGGGGCTAACAAGTCCCCTATGTAATAGCAAATATAATGTGACAGGTCCTCTTTATGGAGACATCAGGGGTCTTGCAGGCATAGCACCGGGGAGCTGCCCTCGGGGTGGATATGCTGCTGGTGGTACGAGGGGTGGATGAAGGAGCGACCGATTGGCGTGCTGGGGCCCGAGTGGCCACTGCAGGCGATGGCTGGTGGGGGACGGCGCGAGTCTCCAGGCATGCGGTCCTGCGGGCATCCACGTACTGATCTGCCAGCTCAGCTGCCTTGTCCACTGTGCGAGGTTTCCGATCCCAGACCCATTCACGAACTTCCATGTGGGACTGTTCATAAAATTGTTACAGGAGAATGAGCTGTGTGGCATCTGCGAGGGTGGTCAAAGTAGCTGCCTATGCAGATCATTGTTTATTCTCTGTGACCAAGACCTAGATATCCCTACCCAGGGGCATCCCGAGGCCGGGTGACACCCGGAGCGGTAACCGAGTGTCACCCCGCCGAGACGTCACTGCGCATGTGCGTGACGTCACCACGCGCATGCGCGATGACGTCATTGCGCACGCGCGGCAGTAATCTGATACCTGCCGGCGGCCATCTTGGTGATGGATGCCGGCAGAGAGAGGAGGGGACAGTCACCCGGCGGGATAAGGTATGCCGCAGGGTCCCCTCCTCTCTCCTGATACTGTCGGGCGTTCGGTCCATGACCGAGCGCCCGACTTTTCAGACGGGGGTGACACCAAAATGACTGCGAGTCATTTTGGTGTCACCCCTCCAATGGTGTCACCCGGGTGCGGGTCGCACCCCCCGCATTCCCCCTTGTGACGCCACTGTCCCTACCTCATCTGCACAATCGGAGTACAAAAGTCCCATGTCATGAACATCTCAGTCCCAAAGCACTGCATTGTACACATGCTAAATGGATTCCCCTTTCGCTGGACCTCCTCTTCTCTCACCTATTTGGGCGTACAGATTACTCCATCCATCAGTCAGATGTTCAGAGCCAATTTTCCACCCGTGTTATGGACTCTACACAAGGACAAGGAATACGTTGGGGTAAGGTAAGGAATACTTCTCTTTGGAACAATATTCTGAAAGTCTTGCCTCGCCTTTTGTCCTTATATCAGACAATTCCTATACTATTACCTAAACAATTTATTTTATCTGTCTGTTGAGCCATTTTTTAAAATGTATTTTATTTTTTATCCGATTAACCGATTAATCGAACTTAATAATCGGCTAACTAATCGATTTTGAAAATAATCGTTAGCTGCAGCTCTAGTCTGTTGTGAATTTCTCCACTTTGTCTGGAGAATTAAATCACACTCCTTAGACCACAACACTCTCACAAAGGCAAATAGGGGGATTGGACTCCCAGACACGCTGCGCTATTATAGAGCCACACGTGTAGCTGGAATAATTGACTAGTGCAAAAACTCCGACCTCAAAATGTGGGTCCTGCTGGAGCAAGATTCTTGCCAGGTGAGCTTGCAGGCTCTTATCGGCATGAAAATGTTGGCCTGCTTCATACTGAACACAATCCTTTACTCTCAGCAACTCTTCGATATTTTACATTTGTGTCCAATAAACGTATTATCTCCACTTTGTCATTGGGTGTGCTTCTGATCATAGGACATCCCGACTTCGCCCCTGGTATCCAGGACCCTACCCCCCCCCTGTGCATGCCTACTGCTTTCGATTGACCCATTTCCTTGCTGGCACAGAACCTAAGTCAATTCAATATTTACAGAGGTTGACTGACCCACCCCACCTTTTTGGAATGCTCAGAGGCTCCGCTAGTTTCTATGTAATGTAAAATAGAAGTCAAAGCACACGCATTCTCTTTGATTTTGCACATAACAGTTCCATCGCTAATAAATATCAGGACATGGTACACAAGCTTTTCTCCCGGTGGTAATTGGTTCCACAGCAATACATTATACAGCAATTCAGAACTCCACCAGCTATAGAAGACTACAAATCGCAGCAATGCATTATACAGCAATGCAGAATACCACCAGCTATAGAGGACTACAAGTCACAGCAATACATTATACAGCAATGCAGAATACCACCAGCTATAGAGGACTACAAATCCCAGCAATACATTCACAGAATCGCAGCAATACATTGTATATGAGGTTGAAAAACGACATTCGTCCATCAAGTCCAACCTATAGGAATACATTATACAGCAATGCAGAATACCACCAGGTATAGAGGACTACAAGTCACAGCAATACATTATACAGCAATGCAGAATACCACCAGCTATAGAGGACTACAAATCGCAGCAATACATAGGATTTGAGGTTGAATAAAGACATTAGTCCATTTTTTCTACATTTTTTTCTTCATTTTTTCTTCGTTTTTTTGGATTTTCGTTGGACACATTATTGCACTGATTTCACTGTCGAAGTGTCTTACATTTATGGATTTCTAAAGATTTTAAAAAAACTACAAAAGATTTGGACTATTCACACATACATCGATAAAAGTTTTATTTTTATTTTATTTAATTGGTATACATTGTTTGTTCATTCACTATTTATTAACAAGAATCACTTACACATGATACATATATTCACAGCCTATCACATTTTATTAGATACATTTATACATTGTCTGATTCGATATTTTATAGACTTTTATTTGTTCACACAACCATTCACATTGAGTATTTAGAGATACACCCCTTCGCTGAATGTTTTATTTATTAATTATTTTTTAATAGCACTTGTTAAATCCTGATCTCAACGTCTGAGTTCTTATATTCAACTCTGAAGGACGGCTAGCGCTGTACGTATAGGAATACATTATACAGCAATGCAGAATACCACCAGCT